GCCTTTCCTTTGTCCTTGTAATAAAAGCATTTGTGAAGAAATTCACACTGCACATGCCATCTGGCATCGCTGGAACGAAATATGAGTGCACCCTAATTAAAATCGTAAAATTTCTGACAATGGGCACCGCCATTCACTCCAACTATCACCCCTGCACCGCTGACCCTCATTCCAAAAGAATGTGCTGGTTGGGCGACATAACAGGTTACCGCTACTGTTTATTCCAAAAACATTGTGCGTCTTTCGGTATTAATTTATCTCTAAACCCAGCATTTTAAATTCTCAGGAACGATCATTGCGGGAAAATTGTGGGCCGGGACTACGATTTTTGAACGATCGATGCGATAAAACGATAGTTCGAGGAACGATAGAAGCGGGAAAATGTAACATTATTTTATATGGGATGTATTCGGGACCGAACAAAACGGACGATGCATCCGGGAAAACGATAGTTCCGGGAACGATGGATAGAGGTTTCACTGTAGTGCAATATTGGGCAAAGAAAAATAGTCCAGGTCTCCACAAGTTAATATGAGTCATATATCACTGTATATCAAACATAACTTTGTCAAAGTAAGTTACATATATATATATATATATAGGTGCATAAAGAATACTTACTGCAATATAAACATCTGCTTTACTACTGGAATTGACTGTCAAGGTTACTGGGGTTTCAATATTAAAATGTGTACTTAAACTGTCTGGCCATTTTGCAGGAATAGGTACATCAGTATTTCCAAGAAACCAGTACACCTGGAATCATATTATGCACAGTTAAACTTCATTTCTTACAGCATTCCCCAGTGACAAATTGTGAGGAAAAAAAATTGTATTATTTATTTCAATAAAGTGCTAGGTACAATTCACCTTCAACACTCCTTTTATCCATGTCCCTTTAAAGTGGGCCATTTCAGAAACTAAGAATGTCTTTCTGGTAGCATTTGCACCTGGTAACTCTTATGTTCCTACATCCAAAACCAAATACTAGCCTCAGAAATGTTGGATTTCCTCAGAACTCCATTCAGTCATGTCAGCATACCTGATAACCATTTATTTAAAATTAACATCATTTAAAGTTCATCAGAATGAAGGAATCTGTTTAATGTGAGCTGATTTTGCTTGCATGTGATCTTTCACAGCTGTGTCACATAATATATAAAATATTTCCAAAATAGGCACAATTACCATAAACACTGTAATAAGAAACAGGCCTCTTAAAATTAATAACAATGAACATCAGTACAAATGTTAAGTATCAGCACTAATGTTGTATACTTTAAATTAAATCTCAGCACTTACCACAAAGGTTTGCTGTGCAACTAAACAATATCTGGTAACTGGCATACCTGGGCACTCACGTATCATAGACCATCAAATTCTGCTCAAGCATCATTCCCTTTGAATTATCCAAAGCAAACACAATGGAAATACGTAATAGCATCTGATGGTTATCACTGTCATCATAAAATGTACCCCAGAAGCATAGTCACTAAGTTCAATGGCTCCAGAAATTATATGTATGTGTAAACTGCATGCAATTATGTCAGTATTTGTAGTGAAGATCTAATGATTACTACACTATACTACTACTGATATGCAACAGTTACCAATGTCTATTTTCTCAGAAATCAAATCATGTTTGATTAGGCATTTTTCTTAATTTATGATTATATGGTAACATACCATTCTTAATGCAAATAAATGTAAAAAAAGAGAAAGAAACTCACTCATATAGCCAGGTAAATATAATATGCTATATTTGATCATACCAGAGTAATGGAAGGAAAACCAGCTTTATATATAGGCTGACCTTTAACTAACCTCAAAAATTTTGGCCAGATCGGAAGCAAGACAGCTGCAATTGTAGACAGCCAAACCTAACTCCTTCACCTGAAAACATAATTATATGTGTTAAACATGAGAAATACCGAATTTTTACCACACTAACAAAGAAAATATGTCTACATTAGTATATACGTACTCAGCTACCTGAAGACTTACTCATAATTTTAAACAGAAAAGCCAACACATTTTGGACACAATGCAAACTGGAAATCTCTAATACTAAGAATTTTATTTAAGTGCCAAATGTGCGAATTCTCAAATGCTTATTGCAATCTGCAAGCAAACTTGAGATTGACAGGATCATGAAATAGTTATTTTGATTTAATTAGGCTAGTAGTACAAACAGAGATCAGAGTTTTTTTAACATCACAAAATTAATTTTCTAACACAGAATGCAAATATCTTAATTATAGCATGAATGTGATATATACATCAAAGTGTTTGCAGCTAAATGTGCAGTACATTAGAGTTTGTATCTTCACATATTTTAAAGAAACACATTTTTTCTGACCAAACGTGATTCATGAGCAAGTATGTAAAGCTCGCTTAAAGTATGAGAATTACCAGATTTTATTGTCTGACCATCTATGCACACACCCAGAATGATAACTCATTAGCTATATTACATTTCATTGCTTATATTACCTAAACATGATGTTAAAACAATAGTTCACTCAGCTCATTCAGCTAACTGGCTGGGAAAATGTTAATGTATCAGACGTAAACAGTGTTAAATCCAGATGTTTCAGATTAGATTTTCTGTTGTGCTAACAGAACCCTACCTGTAATGTTTCATTAAAGTAGAACATATAGCATTTTTTGGTGCTGAGAAAATTGTCTCTCACAATGAAACATGCAATATTTCAACAGATATATTTGTTTTGCTATTGTTATTATAATTGTTGATGTTTTTATCGTGTCTGAAGAAAATGTAAATACATGCACTCTACAGTGGTAAGCATTCTTCTTGATAACAGCACCATTTCATAATAGCATAACCCAAGGGCTGCTTCAGTTCCATCACTTTTAATTTCTATCCTTATACCTCATACAAATGAATTTTCTTAAACTTTAATGTATGGAATTTATATTTGTCATATGGCAACACCTGGCTCCTTAAGGCAGTGAAAGATTAGTAAGATGCTGATGATGTTCACTTGAGTGTGGACCAGTATGCAGAAGACATCAATCATGCGCTACGTCATCTTTCCTGGTGTGTCTTCTGTCATCACTGTGTTTGAGATCTTACTTTGCAAGTACTATTTCTATTTTCCACTAACAAATTTCTAGAGTATTACCTTACCAGACTTTCTTGTTAATATGGTGAAATAAACTGTTACATGTGTATGTGTATTTTTTTAAAGATAACAGTATCACAGTTATGGTATCTGCATTTTCTCACCTCTGTTAATGATCTCCAGTCCATGTTGGCACTACCTACATAGAAATGCTGCTCATCAACAATCCAGAGCTTAGTATGCAAGACTCCACCACCCATCAATTTTGGAAAATTCACACTACGAACCTTAAATTGATGAAAACTCTCATTATAAATCTTCGCATACATGAAGCTGAAAGAACACAAGAACATATGGATCCAAAATCTGGTGACAGGCAAGTACTAGCTGTAGCAGTTTCCCAGGTTTAACAAAAGAGCATCAAGTATGAAAAGTATTAAGAGCAGAAGTACTTAAATCTCTTTCAACATAAATAGTACAGCAATTGATTTCATACAAATTTCTATATTGCACAAAAGGCATGGGCAAGAAGTAAGAGAGACATTTAAGAGAACAATGAAATCATAAAATGACAGATGTTAAATAAGTAATGGATAAGTAATGTTTGTAAGACAAAATTGGATATGAATCAGAATTTGGACATTTTGGTAAGGAGACGAAAATGAAGGAAGGTGTTTGCTAAACATATGCAATACAAATGCAGGATAATTAAAATAGTACAAAAGAATATTTAAGTCCCAAAACAACTATACATAGTCAGGGCAAGACTTGTCTGACTTAATCTTAATTTCACTCTCCTTTCTAGACCCTTGAAGGGCCAATTCTTCCTTTCTCTCTTCTGAAAAAGCTCTCCTCTCACATTCCCTGTTATATGGTGACACCATATTGGACTGAACCTACCCTCCTCATTCCTCAATTCTGGTTGGCCAATTTCCCCTAGTCCACACCTTCCTTTAACCCTATATAAACTATCTAGTTCCCAATAACATCACTTCAGCCCAAAGAATGGTGGCAGGATCTTTCTCCAAAACACTGTTATACCACATGGCAGTTACTGAGTACAATACACAATAATAATGCTTCAGTATAAAATGATTTAAATCTCTGCTGATCCGCTTTCATTTAAGGGAACTTGTCTTCTACTTGTTTCAATGGATATTTCTGTCAAATTTACTTTTAATTTTTATATTTGTGTTTTAGATATAGCTATAGCCAATGATCTGTTGATTTTAATTTTATAATTATCACCAAAATTAACACTATTACCTGAGATACCTGTCAGATTAAGTATCCAATTCTTTTGTGGCAATATGCTAATTTATAATGGGTGATGTCAGTCTCGTAGGTAATAACACCAATGATTATAATCTACACAAACAATCATGCACAGGGTGATTCAGGGGGTGTCTTCCAAAATTCACAGGCATATTAAAAAAGTGATTTTTAGTAACAGTCCTGTTAATATGAGTTTAATTTTTAAATGTTAAGAAGTCATGGCAATTCAAAATAAAGATAAAGACATGCCAGAACTAAGGGCTTCAATGAAAGTTTCACAAAATTTCAATAAGGAACTCAAATAATGTGTTACTTAATAACAAAACATGTTACAAAAACTGTTCAAAGTATCATATGGCATGTCATCACTATGCACAGTGCTGCCATCAACTTCAACAGAACACTTCAGTATTCTGTACAGAAATATGCCATTCTCAAATGTGAATTCAAGTTACAGGTAGACTAGTCATAACCTTCCAAATAAGTTGAATTATAATTTAACAGATAAGACCACACACAAAAAATGGACATTTTCATCTCCTGTGATTTACCATTGTTACCCGTGTGTTAATGATTGTAACGAAAATTGTTGGGTGCAACTTAATAAAATGGAAAATAAGTAATATACCTCTGCAGCACCCTTCTTGGCAAGTATCTCTGTATCCAGAGCAGACTGTGACTGTGAAGGGAAGTTCTGAGCAATACGTATGTTTACCTTCTTCTCCATTCCTGATGTCAAAAGGGCTTGAAAAATTTCTTCGCCCTGCATAAGAAAGGGTTGTATAAAATATAAAAGTAATCACCTATTACACAGAATTCACACTGAAATGGATTTATAAACAAGATGATAAAAGATGTAAACTAAAAGTTCAACATTTTCATGCTAAAACAAACTGTAGCTATTATCTTAAATGTACAAATGTTTTTGTACATTTCTGCTATGCATGAAAAAGTAATTTTACTATAAAAACAGATATGTCTCGTGCCATGACATTAATACAGAAAGTGTATTTACATCAGATATTTATCACACTAGTTGTACACATTTTATGTAAAACATTTTTCAGTCTTATAAACAAAAGATGTCTGAACATATGGTAAGAAATTAGTAAGCCTAAGGAACAAATACAAGAATGACAAGCAAGCATAGGAACAGTAATATCAGGTGAATGTGACCTTAACAAGAAACCAAGCACTGGAAGAAATACACCAATCAACACATGGAATAATAACTTACTCCACGGACCAGAGTTGGTCTTAATAAGATGATAGTCACTCAATTAGTCATCCTTCATATAGCAGAAGTTCTGACACCATGTTCACAAGTTCCTATCCTGAGCCAGGTGAATTCAGTCCTCACCCTCTACCCTTATTTTAAAATTGTCCTTATATTTATGCCCAAGTCTCATCTTGCCTTTTTGTTCTACATGTCCTGCCCAACTCACCTTCCTTCATTTAATCTTCCTACTAATTACAGAGCAAAGAGTACAAATTACAAAGCATCTCATTATTTACTTTTCTTCAGCCTCCTGTCACTTCATTCTTCCTAGACCCATATGTCCACAGCACTCTGTTCTCAAAAACCCTTAATATGGGTTCTTCCCTTAATGTAAAAGACCAAGTTTCATATCTACACAAAATAAAAGGTAAATTACAGCTGCAAATTTTAATAATTTAAATTTGCCATACACTTGACGGATTTATTAGCTACCTTTATGATTTTGTCCTCCAGTCTCGTAACAGGAAATTAAAATATAGTAGGTTTTATCTACATTTAATTCTAGGCAAAATGTGTTTCTAGCATCTAAAAGATTCTATGTTATTCTCTGTGATATTTATGTTTTTGGCCAGTATATTAACATCATCTGCATAGAACAGAAGCTAATATATATATCATTCACTTCCATTTTTTTACATTCATAATCGCACATTCTAAAGTAAAGTTAAAGAGCAATGCTGACATAGTATTTCTGTGTTTCATACCACTCTGAATAGGAAACACATCACACAAATGTTTAGAAGAATGTTCAATAAAATATTTTTTATGTAGCTCATAATAGTAATTATCCTGTTTGGATCAACACAGAGCAAAATGTTATTAAAACACATGAACATAATACACGTGCATATAAAATAGCAGGTATGTAAAAGCAAAACTAAACTGTCACATAAATATTACAGTAACCTTGAAATTAAAGGCAGGATACATAAATAGGGAAATAATGTGTTTACAGTTTGTAGACATGGTTAGGTAACTGTTATAATTTAAGAGAAGCTCATTACTGCATTAAAAATTATACCTGAGATAGTTATATTACTAAGTGTACATAATATTGTGACTGACTTAGACACAAAACAAATTAGTTAATACTAACAGATAAAAAGAAAACAGAGATTGTAGTATTAAACCAAACACTGATAAATAGCAAACAGTTGAAAATTACCTGAACATGGAATGAGATGCCAAAACATGTAATTATCAGATACTGCTATATTAGATATGTGTTACACTGAAACTTATAATTAAAACTTTTCATCTTGTTTAGTTATTTCCATGTAATTATTATAAACAGTAAATTACAGTTCACTGGAAATTAAAATAAAAAGTGCCTCTACCTTTGTTTTAATCTCAAAAGAAAAGAGGTAAAAGCTATTCAGCCACAATACAGCTCTGAAGTCATTGATGCCATTCAGAGGGTCACATGTCAGATTCTGGTGAAGAAGCCAGAATTGATATGCGTGCACATTTTTCATAACTTCCTTCTGTTAATAACAAGATTCAAGTACTTACTTTCTGTGAAGAGGGGTCTCCCGGAGTGACGTCAGCACTGCGTAGTGTCCAGTAGAATGAACCAATTTCAATTGAATGTTGTGCCAACTTGATGAGGCCAAACCAAACATCATGGGTTGATGGATGTATTACAGTGCTATTTGGATAAGTTAAACCTTCTGGTATGCTCTCCACAAGGCTGAATCTATGGTAAAAGCATGAAAGTGTAAAATAACAGGTAGCTTATATCAAAATCTAATCACTTTTGTACAAAAAGGTATGTAATATATGCATAAAACATCTTATGAGTATGTTAGATACTTTCTACAGATATCTGATGTCACTTGTACAAGTTATTTGCATGTAAAGTTTGATGGACTAATCAATTTTACCCCAAAGGTCTTCCTATTAGATCTTAACTTCAGCAAACAGATTAATATCTCCCTCCACGCACTCAATCAAATGTGGTTTTATTTTCCCTCTCTTTCCATCAATAATTGTTTTATTTAAATGAGATACAAGCAAAACAAAAAGAAAAGATCATAACGAACTAACACAACGGCATAACATTTCTTGAAAAGTTAACGTTTGCTCAGCTGATCAAGAACTTTCCTGCTTTTATGGAGTCTAAGATTTACAACAGAGTAGAACAAAAGTCCACCATCATACCTTAACCTGAACCAGTTATATCCACTTCACACCATCACACCCTGTTTGTTTCACATATGTTCTAATATTATTTTCCCACTTATGCATAGGTTTCTCAAGTAATCCCTTCCCTTTAAGTTGTATACAATTTTGTAAGCACTACTCATCTCTTCTGTGTATGCTACATGTCCCAAGCATCCTACATTTAATTTAATCACTCTACTAACATTATCTGACATGATAAAATTATGAATGCGTATCACTATGTAATCTTCCTCATTCTCCTATTACTTACTCATTCTTCTATTACTTCCTCTCTTATCTATTCTCAGGCACCTTCAATCTACATTCTTCCTTTACAGTAAGGGACCAAGATTTGCACCCATGATACAACAGATAAAATTATAAAATTAATCTTTACACTTTTAGAAAGGACACAGGAAGATAAATTAATATCAACTGAATAATAATAGTAACAATTTCTTGGATGCAAGCTCATGTTAATTTAATTAAAAACATAACTGATTTATCACAGTCATTACCAAGTATTTAAACTCTGCCACTTCAAAAGAATTTATTAGCTCTCCTCATACTTAATTTCCCAGTTAATGTGAGACTTTCTTCACCAGCAGTAAGTTGTTGGATTGTGATTAACGTGATATATTCTGTGAAAGAACTCACTGCAGGTTATAGCAAGCAGATCCTCTATTTCCATATGAAAAAGGTTAAATAAAAATATCCTAGTTCTGCAACCAGCCAGTTTTTCCTAATTTAATATGTCTCAAATTTTTCTTTGTGCAAGACAGCTAACATGCAGTTTACTTATATTTTGTTACCTAAATCTAGTCTGAGATGCAGACTGTACATTTGAGCATGTAATTAAAGATATATTTAAATAGTTTACTATCTTATCTTGTTCATACCTGCAAGTCTGAGGACAGGATATTGAAGAAGACTTAGCATAATCAACTTCCTTTTGTTCCATCAATGGAAGAAGCACTACCAGCACAATAAGAATCAGTATGATTGTTATAGGGATGCATGAAGGCTTACACCATCCGCGGGGACCCCACCTAAAAGAGGTGAATTCATGTGGTTACACACTACAATCTACTTATTATAAAAAAGAATAATTTATAAACCTAAATAAATAACAGCATGAGTAAAAATTATATATGCCACATCACCATGTGTAATAAATGTACAGTTTTGTAACTGAATGAGATATCATCTGAATAATTATGTATGCTCAGAACTGTTTGTATGAATTTGCTTCTCTTAAGTAACCTCATAATATCAGAGATGCATAATTAATGATACAATGTATTTTAAATTATTTTTATTAACATTTCACTGTGCATATCTTATTTAATTACATCTTGTGCAATCACAAACTGAATATAAGAGTCTCAAAAAAAGTAAAATTCTCTACAAACTAACAAGTAGATCTTAAAAGAATATACGACACCATCTTCCTTTATTATATATAAAGAGGAGACCAGATTTATAAACCCATATTTGCATCAACAAGTCACCAATTTCTGTATATATTCTAACATACAATTCTTGGTTTCTTGACTTGAAGGCATACAATTAAACAAGCTGTTTATTAAACATGTAGAAAAGTGTGTTAATATCCTATGTAACTTGAACAGTTCTTATGTGTGAAATTTCTCAAGCAGTGACAAAACTGAAGTGCAAAATACTCAATCTGATCCTTCCTATTTAATATGAAAACAATATTACAGTGCTTATCTTCTACTGGGTAGGAACACCATGTAGCCAGATACCAATATTTTGGAGAAATACCGTCTAAATACCGGCTGAATTTTACTTCCCAGAAGAACATCAACATCTTCACTGCCATGAAAACCTCAAATCTCATGTAATATGTCAAGGTGTTATAAATGATTGGTTCATAACACACTGCAGTTAATCAGACAGACACAAACAAACCCACTGTCAATCTTGCCTCATCATCTTTGAAACACGAATATTACATTCTCTAACAACTCTACAAAGAAAAACTCATGTATGCAACATAATTGTGGAATTTTCTTATAAGAAGAAAAATAAATTTCTTCTAAGCAAAATACAAGTAACTTAAAAAAATTGAGATGTCAGTCCAGATACTTAACGAACTGTAACATTGTGTTGAGGGTACAGTTAAACTGAAGCTTACCTGGCATGGTTGTAGCCAATTTCTGGCTCATGGTCCCCGCGGAGCATAAACCGCGAATCCCACAGTTCAAACTCTGTGTCTTCTGTGGCACCATCAATTCTGCTACCACTGCTCTTCTTTACAGCTTGCTGGAGCAAACAAGTGAACATAAATAAGTGTCTACAAACCAGTCTCCAAATCTTTTAGGGTATGTGACACATTTTCTGTTGTATGCATGCTTGTTACATATAATTTGAATCACCTGTATCATTTTCATATACAAATACGTCTAACCTCACACTTGACACCTTATCTAAGCACCACGTCATGAAGACGTGTGGGGTAGAGAAGGAATAGTTCCACTCACACATAAACTTACAAATTAACAAAGACAGATACTCGTGTTTTACCTTTCCTAACTGTACCATCCTTCACACAAATTAATGCTTAAAATGATGTTATCTTACTCCTTTACCACCACAGATAAAACCACCGAAGTTCTTGTCTAGAATTCGCGAGTATATATATAGTATATGATGCTGGGCAGACCTTCCATCACAGATAAGTTCCAATGTAAACAACAGATGGTAGCACACACGGAGAAATTTGCGGAAATATCAAAAATGCATTGAGAATTACCGTTATAATAATACGTGTCTTCTTCATGTTATAAAGAAAACACAGAGTCAGTCTGTGACGTTTTCCAAAGTATTTGTTTTTGAGATAGTACTCAATTTGGACCAAATTTTTAAATAATGAAAAGAGCTGCCCATTTTTATAGAGTTTACTCCTAACTTCCGATCTTAATATACTGGAACACTTTCTCAGTTTCCTTCGTATTTTTAATTTAATTGCGAACCTGTTATGAAATATGCTCCACACAAGGCCACAGAAAGAAATTTTTAAAATTCGCCATAAAGCGATTATTAATTTAATCTGAACGTTGTACAGCCATACATACTGACTCCGTGCTGGAGCTAATATAACAGAATGCAGTGAATGTCCCTGTAGCGCTTGGAATATAAAGGACATTTTAAACAGTCACATTAAAAGACAATTTAATTGAGGATGATGGCTTCCGGAGTTGTGACGCCACGTAGAGCTATGCTCAAACGTGTGGATACAAAACACGTGTTTCATAAATATGACCATAATCAGCCTGTTTAGTTCAAATGCATTTTGATGGAACAACAAGAATTGAGACAAGAAAGAAACAAAGGAGTGCGTTCTACATTTACGAATGCATTTTTTTACATTTTACAATTTCGATGTTCATTTATCGCACGTACAAATACGAGTTCACAAACATTCCTAAGGGATCAATTCACCCTAAGAAGATGGCTGTCTTCTGGGTTGCTGCATCGTGTAGTCTGATAGAATTTTACCGACTTTCAGAGGTGCTTTCTGCCTCCATTATCGCCAGACTGCACGGCGCAAATACCCAAAAGACAACCTTTTCATATTCGCCGCCGTGATAACCCGAAATCTCAAAATCCACTCTAAGATCCCCTAATAAGATTTCATGTATCACGCGGAATTCAAATTCGCAATCTTTGTGCGCGGCAAGGGCCGTACAGCGACTGTTGGTTTGAAAATTAAATGTTATACTCACTAATACATATAGATTTCCATTGGAATATCACGTGGTACTTTTAAGGTAATTTTTAAGATATTACTCCTTTCTCTTAACGAGAATGCAGTTTCTTTTTGTGTTACGACTGTTTGTAACTGTTAACATCTGTCACCCACAATCACTCAGCCACTTAATCAAAGAGACGCTGACCAATCTTCTCTGTTCCACTGAAACTGGGTTTAGCATAACCTCTAATCCTTATCCGTGGCTGTCACCAAAACAAATTACGTACCGCTCTGGAACACTGTTCGCTGAAGTGAATGTGTCACAAGTAATCGTCTCTTTTCCTCTGTATATTTATGAATCGATTTTTGTCCATGCGTGCGTTACTACAATATCGAACGGTATGAATATTCAGGCGACCTTGCTTTGTAAACTTTCAGTCACGTATAATGACAGACAATCCTGTGCCACTAGGGTTCATAGTCGCTCCCACCTCATTAAGTACGGCGTCAGTCTGTTTACCACTAAAAAAGACACTCATTACTCAGACATATTAACACAAACATATGTGATAACTTTTACGAAACATTCATCTCCCCTGAAATAATCAGTTTTTTTACAATTTCTATGTTGGATAAATTAGTGCGTGAGTTAAGAAAGTAAGAATTGTCCAAATATATCCACGTAGATCCTTGTTGGGTTTCAGGTGCAGGAAAATCATGCAACATTGTTCCCTATTCAGATTTTTTTTTATCTTTAACGCCATAGTCCCTGATCTCAACAGCCTGAGACAAAGCTATTAAGGAAAGAAACAGGTGTTCAGGTGTTCTTCCCATGTCACTGGGATTAGCCGAGGTTTCATTGCATTCAGTCGCCGTGAAAGCCTCATGTCTTAAATTTATGAAAAGCAGTTTTGAAACTTTCAGATGCGACAATCGGCGGCGGTACTTGTCTGTGCTGAAACTTTTACATTGTTGTTTTGGAATTAAGTTCCTAGAAACGTGTCTAAAAGAACATTTATTATAAAGTTTCTTTTACACAAACTTTTGCCAAACTGAAGACGCTGATCACGAATCAGATTATCATAATTGGCATATTCACCTCCGCCAGAACTTCGAGTATTGTTAACCATGGTCTGAAAAACCCCATTCGGAGTGAGGCATTTGAACACATAACTCACACACTCCATAAATCCTTCTCGAGAAAACAATAGTACGCGCAGCTAGTCAAAAAATTCGCCATATTTTATGGAACACAACGTTTCATCACGCTTTTTACAAGAGCATTCAACTGGTCCATATTCTGAGTCAGATGAATCTAGTCCACAACCTCTGACACTGAAGGAAAAAGACCATTCTAAGACTTTGGCTTAGGTGGGAGGATAATATCATGATAGATCTTAACCAAAGTCTTCTACACATCTCTTGTCTCATTTCTGCTTGCTACATGCTCCGCCCATCTCATCCTCCTTGATATGTCTATCCTAATAATATCTGGCAAAGAGAACAAATTATGGAGCTTCTCATTACGATCACACGTCCACTTAAAATATTACTCTAGTCAAGAGATAAATATGTTTAAATAATTTACGCATTGTTAAAGAACATTGCAAATTATTTGGTAGTAAAACAAAAGCTATTCTAACAGCTACAGGTTTGTTGAAGGCAATAAAACTCTCGCTCTCTGTAGTTACCAAACAGACGCGAACGAAGAGTTATGCTACAAATTTTCTTAAACCTATTAAAACTGAGTCAGCTTACCAACTATTATGAAGTGGTTAAACATCTCAAATAAACGACGAAAGTATTTTGCTTAGGTTTTTAATACGCTCAGTCCATTTGAATAATCGCTATGACTGAAGTTAGCACTCGACTGGTGAACTCAATAATGGGCGGATTGAATTCACTCTTTTGGGACTATTCAATGTCGACGAGGGTTCTATTTCTGCCCCAATAGCACGCCGCACACTGACGACTATTTTATATCAAATGAAGACAGGCTCTACAAACTGTGCGTGTCAGTGTGAGCCACAGCGCTTGATAAATAATTAATTAGAGCTAAATGTAGAACTTGGAACATGTTTTTAGTAGCAGCAGGGACATTACAGTTTTAAAACTTTTGCTTCTTTCAATTACTGTGCCATGTATATTAATACGTACTGTTTCGAATATATACTTAACCATTGTTCAATGACGACTACTAAGTAACTAACTAAAGAACGCCATAGAACAGAGTATTTTTAGAGAAACGAATAACACACCAAACTAGTAAAAAAAATCCGCATCTATGGAAAGCGAAGTTTCATTACCGTTTTCACAAAAGACCGCCACCGGCAAAATTGTGAAGGGAAATAAATGGTATGGGGAAAACAAATACAAAATACCTGTGCAAGGCATGCATTCTAAGCTTTTATCATGTCGGAATAATATTAGATGGGAAAATTTTGTCACGAGGTGCGATTATTTGGGCGACAAAATATTTATTTTTGACAATACTGTCATAAGCAAATGAGCCGGGATAGCTCAGCCAGTATAGTGACTAGCTACGGGCTGGACGGCCGGGGTTCGATCCCCGACGGGGGCAGAGGATTTTTTCCTCTAGCCTCTGCGTCCAGACCGGCTCTGGGGCCCACCCAGCCTCCTCTACAATGGGTATTGGGGGTCTTTTCCCGGGGGTAAAGCCGGCCGGGGCGTGATGCTGACCACTCACCCCCATCTAGTGCCGAGATCAAGGAAGAGAGGAGCTATACCTCCACTCACCCCAAACGCCTACATGGCGTATAGTGGGACAAACTTTACTTTACTTTTTACTATCACAAGCAAACGCAGAAGGTAGACAGTCTGAAAATCTTATTCGTAAAAGCTGAAGCCTAAAATTAAAGCATAATGCGTAACACCTGCTATTACTTGCCTTTCGAAAAGTTGTTGGAAAACTACGTGTTAACTTCATGTCCATCCATTCGTTAGCCCGCAAGAAATAATGCCCAAAATACTTGACCAAACTCGGACCAAATCGGTGGAATGACGCACTTGCACCAAATTTTTGTTAGACCGAATTTTAAAAACTAATATAATTATAGGCGTAAATGAAGTTACGTGTCGTATGTATTTTCAGTGATTCAACATATTTAAAAAAAAACCTAAGCGGAAGAGAAAGTGGTATAGCCTGGTCTGCAAACTTAAAGCACTGCTCTGCACAGTCACGTTCAATAACCCTATGACGAACATTTCGGTCGAGTTGGTAACACTCTTGATAAAAATTCATGAAAGCCCGGTTCAAATCTAGACCCTTGAGACACTCATCGCACTGATTATAGAGGCTGCAAGCAATTTTGAAACGTCACTAAATTTTTACCAGAATACACAGCGCAACAACCTAGAAGATCTTTATCTTAATATATTGTCCCAGTTACCTCAGTCAGACCAGGTGAAAATACTAATATAATATCATAATTTAGATTACGGCCTCTTCCTTCCACATATTTTCAAATTCACTATTTATTGTTCAATAATCATCCCACCATTTTGCAATATCTAAGCTGAGCAACTTAAGGAATTGTTAAATAGACCTAGAATAAATACAAATTCAGCCTATGATTCCGAATGTTTCAGCATGTAGATCGGCATTTTGTTAAAAAACGAACTTATTTACTATGATTTCAATAAGATTATGTTACTCGATAATAGATTAGATCACAATGCAGAAGATGACACAGCAGCTCTTGCTAATCCCATATCGGCAGCTGTCACACAGCACAATTAATTGCTACTCGAAAAGAAGCTTTAGATTCAACAGGTCGCTTAACTCTATTAGCCGTCGCGTAGAGCACGAAGTTTTCAAATGGGGCGTTTACGGAAAAGACGATGCAGCTCGGAACCAGAGTCGATTTTTTTCCTTGTGGAGTTTACATTACGAATGTAAAATCAGTCTAAATTTACAACAAATTGCGCTGAATTCAAAGATGAGATAAAGACGTCAGAACGACCTTTAAACCTTTGAAGCTGAAACTCGTCTAAATAATATTTAATAATCCAATCTGTACCGGAAAGAAAGCACCACACTTTACCATTTAAAATATCTATTTGTTAAAGCTGTTTAAGGAAAATATCTCTGGTTAAATCGAGAATAATGCAAAATCAACTAATAAAAATGAAGAATTATTGATTGCTGAAGCAGGTAGAACATATAGTTCCAACTGGCTTACTGGTTAATTATTTGTGATGGAATTCCATATAAATCAACACGCTTGGATGGTTTGAGACA